ATACCAAGTTTCATGCAAATCCAACGATATGCAGCCTAAATATCCACTTCCCGCTCTAGGCCGCCATTTTGACCGCCGCCATTTTGCAAAAGACTGACTTTTCTGGAAAACCATTTCCAGAATCGTTTTTCTCATCTCAAAAAACCCTAGAATTCCGAGTTTCACACCAATCCGTCAATAAACAACGGAGATGCCAAATTTCCGCCATTTTGAACTTTGACCGGCCACCATTTTGTCAAAAATGAACATTTTGACCTGCGGTTTGCGCCAAAAACTTTCTTTTTTTATTATCTTTCGAATGAGGTATCACAAAGGGGGGGTTGCCATTTGAAAAAAAAAAGTTAGCCCCCGCCCCCCAAAATTTTGGGGGGACCAAAAAGTTGCTACTTTAGACCGAGGAACATTCCCAAAGTTTCAAACTTCTATCTCAATTTGGAAAAAAGTTACAGGGGTGGTCAGTGACTTTTGGATAACCCTGTATAGATGGGAGATCAATCGATTTATCATAAAGCACGTCACGCCACTGACTGTAACAGTGTTGAGAGGTGCAGTAAGCCACAACGTGGACATATTGGATGAGAAATGGATCCCTTGAAAATAAAAGTTAGGTTCATGCTTAAGCGCCCGCAGTAAGTAGGTCATCTACAGCCAAGGCCAAGTTATCGAATATTAATAGCCTATGACTAGATTTTTTTTAGCTGTAACTCAAAATTTTCGCTTCTATTTCATTTTTTAAATAAATATTACAATGAAGGATGGATGTCATTAAAGTCTGATTTGAAGTAACTTTAGCTGCTGAATCCGAAAATGGCCTTGATTTTAAATATTATGCGCCGTTTTCCCAAAAAAATGGAATCAAAATTGAATTTCCCCACAAAAAACTTCATTTTTTTTAGAAACCACATTTTGTGGGAAGGTATTGGGTCAACGCAAAAAAACTAAGGTGAATTTTGAACTCAGCAATACAAAATACATAGAAGCTTGTCAACTATCTAGTCTACCATAAAGTCCACCGTGTTTAGATTTTTTTCATTTTTGGAGACCTGTGTTTTTCTATGATCAGTGACTTTTAAGTGCCTACTACTCCTAAAATATGTAACTTACTGAGCTAATATGGGCGCTTCTCAATGCTTTAGTGTCTAAACTGCAAGAATACTATATGGTAGAACGGTCAAATCTGTCCACCACCCCCCTCCCCCAAGGATGAGACTTACTTGGCTGAAGAATCAAACGAACTATCGATTAGACAGATTTTCATTCAAATGAAAAAAAGACCTTCTTTGATAGGTAATTGTGGATTTGTAAAAATTGATGAATTTAAAAATCGAAAAATTGGCAACAATGCATGTTAAAATTAATAGGCCATCCAACGCATGAAAATATCTTTAAAGTGGGCTATTTTAAGAGCATTTTCGTTCAAACCACGACGTCATAGCTCAATTTTAATGTCACTTACGGAAGTTTCACGTTTCCAACTTCGCAATGCTGTAGCGCGCGGGAAACATTTTAGATGAACTTGCCAATGCCAGAAAAAAGGCGTGTTTTGTGATAGGTAACAGGAACAACATCTCCAACTCCGGTCAAAATCGCCGATTTTGAATAACCTTCGCTTTGTGTTTGAAGTTTCAAAATTAAATGAGGCCTCATAGCGGAAAGAAAGTCCACCTATCATGTTGATGCTCAAGAACTGGATTCTAGCATTGAATTTTTCTGAGAATATATTTTATGACAAGTTTCAATTACAGGGTTATCCAAAAGTCACTTACCACCCGGGTAACTTTTTTCCTAATTGAGATAGAAGTTTGAAATTTTGGCAATGTCCCTCGGTCTAAAGTAGCAACTTTTCGGTCCTACCAAAATGTTGAGGGGCGACTTTTCCTAAGGGGGGGCGGGGGCTAACTTTCTTTTTTCCAATGGCATAAATACTAAATACTTTAAAAATTGCGGCGGAAAAATCGGTGTTGCGGGCGGTGATACGGATTTCCCGTCATTTTTTCGCCATCATTTTAAGTTTTTCGAAATTTCAAAAATTCAATGAAAGATTCGTTCTTATCGTACCGAAATACCCCCGGATACCAAGTCTCATACAAATCCAACGATAAGCAGCCTAAATATCCACTTCTCGCTCTAGGCCGCTATTTTAACCGCCGCCATTTTGAAAAGGACTGACTTTTCTGGAAAACTAATGCCAGAATCGTTTTTCTCGTCCCAAGAAACCCTAGGACTCTGAGTCTCAGACCAATCCGCGGATAAAAAACGGAGATGCCAAATTTCTTGAACTTTGACCGGCCACCATTTTGTCAGAAATCAACATTTTGACCTGCGGTTTGCGCCAAGAATTTTCTTTCTTTATTATCTTTCGAATGAGGTATCACAAAAGAGGGGTTGCCATTGGAAAAAAGAAAGTTAGTCCCCGCCCCCCTTCAGGGGAGCCGCCCCCCCCCAAAATTTTGGGGGGGACCAAAAAGTTGTTACTTTAGACCCTCGGAACATTGCCAAAATTTCAAACTTCTATCTCAATTCGGAAAAAAGTTACAGCGGTGGTAGGTGACTTTTGTATAACCCTGTATAATTTAATCGTTATTAGATACTTACCTATCTTAAAATGTTTCAAAAGATTGCACTTATTCGCCATATTTTCTGAGCTCATTTTTTCGAAATTAGAAGAACGCCAAAGGGGTACGTGCAAAACGGGCCATTTCACGCTCATGTTGGATACCATTGAAACTTGCCCTATTCATTTATCTAACAATGTCCCATATTTTCCCAAAGTTTCAGGTCCCCAAAAAATTTTGGGGGAAGTGGCGGGGGGTCAAAGTTGAAAATCCGCGAAATTTTCGAGAATTTTTTACTCAAAAACTACTAAATATTTCGAAACGCGGTTTAATTGAGCGTTTTCAGCGCGAAAAGAGCTTTCAGAAAATGTATAATATCATAGGGTTTTGTCGACTTACTCGAGTTAGCGCCTCCGAAGCGCCAGAACGCTAAAAAATGACCCGCTTTTTTTTCACGTTCGGGCCGATCCCCAAAATAGCCCATTTTAAATTTCTTTGAAAAACTGATATGTTGCTCCTGACTCTCTGTAGCCCCTCTAGCACTTTACCGCATGCTGTAGAAAGGTTTTGGTCGCGAGTTATAAGAGCGAAAAGGAGCGAAGGTCGGGAAAATCGGCTATTTTAAACTGCGCGCGGCGACGGATAAGGAGACATGTGGCAACAATGCGAGGTCGGCAGAGGAGTGTGATTCGCCGAACCGAGCAGGAGGGGGCGTTCTCCCTCTAACCCATGCGACGCGCACAATTCAAAATAGCCAATTTTCTGGACTTTCGCTCCTTTCCGCGCTTATAAATCGCGAACAAAACATTTCCCCAGGATACGGTAAAGACATATAAGGTGCAATAGAGAGTCAAAAACAACATATTAGTTTTTCAAAGAAATTAAAAATGGACTATTTTGGGGATCGGCCCGAACGTGAAAAAAAATAGGGTCAATTTTTAGCGTTCCGGCGTTTCGGGGCGCTAACTCGAGTCTAAGTTGACAAAACCCGATGATATTCTACATTTTCTGAAAGCTCTTTTTGCGCTGAAAACGCTCAATTGAACCGCGTTTCGAAATATATAGTAGTTTATGAGTAAAAAAATTATCGAAAATTTCGCGGATTTTCAACTTTGAACCTCCACCACTTCCCCCCAAAATTTTTTGGGGACTCGAAACTTTGGGAGAACATGGGGCATTGTTAGATGAATGAATAGGGAAAGTTTCAATGGTATTATCGGACACGAGCGTGAAATGGCCCGTTTTGCACGTACCCCTTTAAGAAAAAAAAAGAGAAAAAGAAACCCTATTCGCAGATGGAAAAGGTCATGGAGTCTTCAATGTTTACCCGTTTAACTACGTAAGGCACGTACAAAGGCTTTCCTGTAAAAAGTGAACACGTGGTAATGATCCTTTAACTATGACTATAGGTAACCCCAACTTGGTTACGTTTATTTTCAAAAATTACTAGATGAATAAGCACAGATGGAGTTAATACTCTCCTTTTTGAATTTAAAACCAATATTATGAAATTCAAGTCTTTTGAAACGCAATGAGGATGCTACTGGATACAAAATGAGAAAATAATACGAAATCACAGTGGCAAACGTGGTTTTTATTTTTTTAATTTTTTTTCGAGGTTTTATACATTTTTTTTCTTGTTTGGGAAGAGAGGAAAAATGATTATGGTCATGTAAAATAGTAGGACGATAGGGAGTGGCGTCAATGGAGGAACTTTACCCAAGGTTGAAATTGCGAGGCATATGACAAATGAGGAATGGATCAACAACACAGGGGAGGGAGAGAGGAAGATGAGGGATGAAGAAGGAGAGGGAGGATTTCAGAAGGGAGCTCCGTAGGAGCTGGAGGGACGCGATGGGGCACCGTAGCTGGAGGAGGGTGCACCGTAGGATGAAGACGGATATCCACCGCTTCCACCGCCGTTAGCTTGTTCATATTGAGCAATTTGAATAGCTTGTTTCACACCCTCGAGATCAATTCCGACGACTCTCGAAGCGTACCCGCCGCTAGGAGCTCCGTAAGACGAGGATGGAACTCCGTAGGACGAACTAGGCGCTCCGTAACTCGAGCTGGGGGCTCCGTAACTAGATGAGGGTGATGATGGGTAACCTCCGGCACCTCCGGAAGACTCTTTAGATTCTTCTTTGATCAAAAGTTGCTTAATCTTTTCTAAGAGTTGCTGATCTACGTATTGGCCCTCGTTGGTGTTGCCACTCGGGGCTACTTCGATGTAGTTTCCGCCGCCGCCTCCTCCGGAATAGCCACCGCCTCCGGAGTATCCGCCGCCTCCTCCGAAACCGCCGCCACCGCCTCCAAAACCGCCACCACCTGACGGTCTGTTGTAGTTATATCCGCCAGGTGCCTCTGCGGATATAAATCCTAACAGACTTGCTGTGACGACACACTGCAACAGATCAAACGTTCACTTTAAGTATGGCTCCAAAATGTAAATAAAAATGCTGATGATGAGTAGAGTTTTTTGATTAGTTGATTATTCAATCAGTAGAATTTTTGTATAATCAGAAATTCAGCAATCGATTATTCGATCATTTAACCGATTAGTGTGCATATTTTGAAACTGTTATTTCCCAAATAACAACATGCTCCCTTAGGTTTCCCGGTGCGCAAATCAGCGCAAGTGCTGCACTTGAGAATCAGAAGTCATTGTTGAATGCAGATAATCCGGCTTTTACACCTGCACTCAGGAGAGTCCCTGCAAAGATAATCCCAAGCCCCGACCTCATATCAATCGTTGTTGGCGAGATAATCAACAAGGTCGGATACTTTCCAGGCAGACCTCGTACTTCCAAAGTTGCCGAAAGTTCAACTCCATTTCAGACCGAAAAATATCGCGCCAACAGATTTCGTGACGTCACAAGGTGTTCCATGTTGGTACTACGTCTATTCTAGTTAAATCTTGTTTTGTCACGTTGTCACTCTGAAAAATCTATCACCCATAATACATTGCACACCTTGTCTTTCATGTTTGCAAACCAAATCTTTATGTTCTTGTTTACTTAAATTAAAGCCCTAAATCAAATTAAAATAAAGTTAAATTAAAATTAAATCGATCACAAGGATCGTTGACCACCCCGATCCATTCACCTGCGATTGTTTATTTAAATTCCAGTCACACAGCGGCCATGATACATTAAATTCATGGTGGTTGAAACCCTGTTGAAACCATGCGAACCTTTTATCAGGAAAAACTAATGAAAAACGTTCTTTTCATCACCATAACTTCAGGCTCCTATTTTTCGTTAGTCAAAAAAGCTGTTTCGAGCTATTTTAAGCTCGGAAAAGAGTTCCTCGCTAAAATTTCGTGGATTAGTATGTATAAAATTGCACCAACAACGTACTCTGGCGTTTTGCGACAGCCAAACACCACAAATGCCTATCTTCCCAGAGGTCATCGCGCAACTGACACAGCAACATCTCCTCGTCAACACCCTGCCACCAACATCCCTTCACGGGATGTCCCCGTCGCCTCTTCCCGGGTGATACTCAAGCTAAAACTTGTTAGGGAAACCTCTCCTCTGACATTCTTTGCACATGTCCATACCACACACTAACTGCTTGGACATAACTTCGTGCACGATATCACTTTCACCTGGAAGTGACATCGTTCCGACCGATCGGCCGCTCAGTGGGTCTGCCAAGTAGCGCTACGGAAAAAAGTGAATTTCTGGAAGTATCTGTAATTTTTGAACTCAGCGACCCTCAAGAATCCCTAAAAATGTATTTTGTACGATTTGAACATTTAATCTGATTTATTAACACCCAAATCCGGCTTTGGAACCATATTTTGGAGCGCGAAAATCGTCGCGCGTCGGCGCACGTTGAGCGGACACACCAATAATCCATAACTCTTGAACCCTTCAGTTCTCCAGCGTAATAGACCACTCTTTGGATGCGGGTAAAGACGAAAAATAAAAAAAAAAAAAAAACTAGTTTTGCTTCAAATAAAAAATTGAGTGCAGTGCGCGCTCGCTAATTCGAAATTCAAGGGACCGAGGCATTTTTTCGAATTAAAGGGTTTTCGAATTGGCGAGATTTCGAATTACAAAGAGCGGTGGCAAAAAATTTTGAATTTAAGTGACGTGTGCCGAAAATTTACAATACCCAACCCCGCTGCGCACAGTATAGCTTTTTCTTTAAAGAACCCACNACCCCCCCCCCCCCCCCCCACAGAAACGCTTTTTGCTCGGCATTGTTTGAACCACTTCATTAAGCTTTCCTCGAGCAGTGGAAATTCACAGTTTCTGGACTGGCACTGTTTTGTAACACCACTATTGCACTGCAGTTTTATTTTTTCTTCATTTTTCAAAATTGTTGATAAAGTTGACGGCGGTATATTGAACAATTTTGCGATTACACCTATTTCTTTGGCGATCTTCAACGGCCTGCTGTAAAACTTCTTTTTTCGGGGTAAAAGTTAACTTGCCGGACTTTCCCATTATGGTTAAATTAAACACGCACTACCACTGTATCGCTTTGCGCACTGAATACACAGCTCAGCTTTTGCGGCGGGTAGGAGCCTCCCACTCAGCATAATAGGTATCTTATAGCAATGTTGTTATTTGCTGACTTATGTTGATGTAATGTTACTAATATGGATGGAATGTTAAATCAGTATTGTCAGGATAAGAATGACAATATCAACATTGATGTAACCTTGATAGACCGGCAATCAAGGAGATGTCAAGAAGTGTCAACCTGATAACAATGTTGACGGGGGCATATCAATATTATGTAAGATTATTGTAATGTTACTTCAACCTTACTATCAATGTTGTTGCAATGTTCAGGCAAGTCCTTGGCAGTAGCACATCAACATTGACGCAATCTTACCTCATTCTTACTAAGATGGATATAATATGGCTGCAATGTTGATGTGTAAGATGTGCAATATTATACTAAGATTGTATTAAGGTTCTATGCTGAGTGGGATGGGTAAACAAACAGGAGTTCAGACATTCCTTTGCTATCCGCCGATATGACTTCGAATTGCAGAGGGTCGAGCAAAAAGATTTCGAATTACAGAGCGTCCAGAATGTCAATTCAAATAGAGCGCGCGGAGCAGATCACTCCGAATAATAAAGTTTTTAAATTAACGAGTCGGCTTGGCGCTAAAAATTTCGAATTATCGAGGGGGACAAAACCTATTGAAAATTTTCGAATTAAGTAAAGGGTTTTTTCAATGGGATCAGCCTCGCCTTCGAATTATAGAGCTTTTTGAATTAAAGGGCTTCGAATTAGCGAGCGTACACTGTAAACTTTTTGTTTAAAAGAAATTTTCTCGACTCAAAAACTGAAACAAGCACATATATTAACTTGAATTTGTGATTTCGGGATTTCAACCTTTAGAATCTTGAAGTATGCAATTTTAGACGATTTTTCGTCCACACCGGACCTCATCGATATCTTTCTTCGTTCGAGAGACATCGAGGCTCACAGGTTTTGACTTCCACCCCCTCTGGCGCCCCCTCAAAATTTTTAGGGGTCCTGAAAATTTGAGAATAGAAGCGCTCAAGTATGAGTAATCAATAATAGACAAATTATGAAGGAATTCCGGGGGGGGGGGCGAAAAAAGCCGCGGCGGATCGTATTCGATACATCAAACAGGTGATTGTATCGATATCAATTGGTTCAGCATGTAAACATAGCCTCGAAATTCAATTGAGTGATCCGAGAGAACGGGTTTCTTGTGATAGATTTTTGATTGTTATGAGTATAATGCCAATGGAAAGTGAAATTGTTAGGAATTTTCCGAATTGAAGCTTTTCCTAAACAACTTCTGAAAATTTTGTTCAAGGTTATGTTCTATTGTTTCGAACCAAACGATACATCAAACCACTATCGAATACGATCTGGCTTCACTTTTTCTCGTGCTTTCAGATAAGAGCACTCTGTCTGTGTGTCTTTGGTCTTGGACACACATTTTTTAGGAGACCAAACCGCTCATCGTCGCTTATAATTTTCATGGTAGGTACCTACATTCTTCAAATAGATATGGAAAATCACCGGAGTTTTCAAAAAATAACCGTTGATTAGTTTTTGATGTAGAAAATTAAGTATGATGCAACGCTGCAAACCGGGATACGCACTTCTGCAGTTTCACCATATGTAGTCTCTGACGGTAAGTATGTTTCTGTATGACGATTCAACATAAACAACACATCATGTCTTCAAACATAATTAGCTTCTGCATTGTATTTAATAACCGAACTAGCTGCTCCGGGCGCCCTACGGGCGCCCTCCACAGCTAGCAATGGTGGTGCAGTAGCTTATTTGGAATCGGAGCGATTAGTTGAATCTATTTAATAATGATGATGATTCTGCGGCAGAAGATCAAGGAATTTAACTGCCTCTCTGCGTTACAGGGTGGAGACTGCCATTCTACCGAAAAATGTTATAAAAAGCTCGCATTATTATTTATTTTTTTTGTGTTATTTTTTAATTTTTTTAATTTTTATTTTTTGATAATTTTCTAATGACTATGAGGCTTTTGGGATTTATAAAAGATCGAAGCACCTCTTTGTGCACGATGTTTTTTGTACGGTTGCCTTTGGGAAGAATTTGGACTTCAAAATTTTTGTACGATATAGCTCGTGAGAGTGCAACATATAGTTGACCATGGCCAAAAACTGTTTGGGGTAAAAAAATGCCGACTCGCTTCAGTGTTTGACCCTTAGCTTTGATGATGGTCATGCACCGGAAATGACCTGCAAATCAAGGCAATTTTCATAACGTTTCCAGACGATCAATCGGGTACCATTTGATAAACATTTAGAAACGTTGAGGTTTCTTAAAAGCATGACAAAAACCCCCTCCAAAAGTGTGAGTTTAAGCGGTGGTAAGCCACTAAGATTAAGACTGTCCAAGAATTCGAGGGGTAAATTGAGAGCCTCTCCCTCTTCCTCTACAATGAGCCTGTTAACACTGAAGTGCGTCTTAGAGACACCTGAAAGAACTTCAACAACCTTGTCGTTAATTTCATTGCAATGCTTATTTTTAGGGGCCAGAATTGCGCAGTTTGTGAAATCTACGTTCGAACATGAGGAAGCTATCTTTTCCATAAATTTCAGTAATAATATCAGTTTCAGTAATACTGCTTATCGGTAAATCAATGAATTCCGGCATGGCCTTTTTTAGCAGAAAGGTAAACACCATCACCTATTTCGAGTTAAAATTTTGCAAACTCCGCTTCGTCTTGCAAAGTTCTCATATTTTGAGTAAGTTTTCTGATTTTGAAAAGAGGTCAAAGTGGTGAGAATTTGATTGCATTTTGCACCAATGTTTGGCGAGAAGCATGCGGAACAACGGGTAAAACCTGTCTAAAATCACCACCCTAGACGACAATTTTTCCTCGAAAAGAGATATCATTACCCATTCTCTAAGAAG